TATGTGCATGTAATAGCACATGATGATCAGAGGACAACTTTGGTAGTCAGTCTCTCCTTCCATCACATAGGTCCTGGGGAATCAAACTCAGGTCATCAGGCCTAGCAGCAAGTGCCTTTATCTATTTAGCTGTCCCACTAATCCTCCCCCATATCTTAAGAAAAAAATAGTGCTTGCTCTTAGAATTTGTAATATATAGTTGTAACTAATCTAAATGCAGTTTAAAATAACACTGTGTACTTCATAGGTTTGACTAACATACAATGACATAGTAACCCTAATTCCTTTCTGTTTTCCCTTGTATCATCATTACTCATTTCAACAGTATATAAGATTTAAACCTCTACAATTAAAATCAAACCTCTCTTTTTTTCATCCAGATTAATTGTGTAAAGTAATGGTTTTTATTGTGACATTTTCATGCATGCATGCAATCTTTCATCATCCTACTCTATGGCTGTTGTCTTATGAGCTCACCCTCTCTCCGATCCCTTTCTTTTCTCTAACAGTTTACCTTTCACTTTTCTGCCATGCCACTCTCTTCCCTCAGATTCCAGTATAAGAGAAAGCTTGTGATACTTTTCTGAGACTGGATTATTTTGTTTAGTATGAATAACGAGTGCAAAGTCGATCTGTAGTCTGTAAGGTTAAGATATCTTTTTATTTAGATAATCACCAGCCAAACGAAAGCCAGAGCAGCAAGGCCAGGGAGAAGGAGCAGCAGCAGAAGAAGAGGGGGTTCCATGTGCTCGAGGTTGCTTAAGAACCCATCCTGCATCACCCTGATCTTACCTTGACCAAGCCTTGACAGGCATGGTCAGGCACACCTGTAGCCAGCCCTTAGGAGGCATGGTTACGGTGTCTCCCTACAGTATGATATCACCAGTTCCATGTATTTTCCACTAAATGACATTGACTTTGTTTTACTTTATGGATGAATAATACTCAATTGTATGTCTGTATACTACATTGTACCTGGGTTGATTTCTATAACTTGGCTATTGTGAATAAAAAGACAAGATAGAAAGACATGGGAAGAAAAAGGAGCTTCTCACTCTGGATTTTGAAGAGATCTCCTGTTTTCTTTGAATGGTTTCAAATTCTCAATGTGTTAAGGTCTTTGATTCCACTTTTGAGTTTCATGTAGGGATCTAGCGCAAAGTTTCTATGTAGCTATTGCCAGCTTTCAAAATAAATTTATTTATTTACTTATTTATGTGGGAGGGTTGATGCACATGTGTGTGGTAGTCAATAGGCAATTTGCTGGAGTGTGAGTCCAGGGGATTGAACTCATGTCATCATGGTTCATCTATTGGTATGTTCCATCTATTGGTATGTCTGTTTTTGTGCTAGTACTGTGCTTTTGTTACAACTCTAGAGTCCATCTTAAAATCATATATGTGATGCCTCCAACATTGCTGCTTTTGCTCAGGATTACTTTGGCTATTTTGAATTTTAGGATTTTTTCTACTTAATAAATAATATTATTGGTACTTTGTTGTGGATGCATTAAATCAGTCTATGTCTTTTTGTAATATGGACATTTTACTTATATTGATAGTGCTGCTTTATGACCATGGGAGGTCCTTCTACCTTAGTGTTCTAATTCCTTTTTTTGTTCAGTATTTTATATCTTTCACTGTAGAAGTCTTTTTCCTGCTTCGGTTTACTTACATGTATTTTCTTTGGAATTGGTGGCTATTGTGAACTGAATTAATTTCCTTTTTTTTTTTTCTAAGCAAGTTCATTGTTGGTACATAGAAAAGCCACTGATTGGGTAGGCCTAATGGTGCAAGTTATAAACTTCCTACCAGGAAGCTGAGAGAGTAAGATTACAAGCTCAAACCTAGCATGACTACTGAGTGAATTCAAGGTCATACTGTTCAATTTAATGAGACTCTATCAAAATAAATTAAAAAGAGGCTTGAGCATATATCTCAGTGGGAAAGAACTTTCTTAGTATGCCAGAAACTCTAGGTTCAGTCTCCAGTACTAGGAGAAAGGTGGGGGTGGAGAGGTGTAACATGTACCCAGAGACAGATATTGGGGTTCAAGGTGAAGATCAGAAAAACAGAACAGCCGGCCACTAACTCTTACCTCTGTGAAATCTTCAGACTGAAAGGAGAGATCCTACCTCCAAGAATTCTCAGACAGCAATTCTCTGAGATCCTATCTCCTCACACTTTATGTTCCTCTGCCCAGCTATTATCACTCCAGTCTTCACCTTCCTAGTGCTGGGATTAAAGGCATGAGCTCTGTTTCTCCTTTAGACTGGTTCACTCTCATGTATCCCTGGGTGACCTTGAACTAACAGAGACCCCTCTGCCTCTGTCTCCCAAGTGCTAGGATTAAAGGTATATAGCACCACCGCCTGGCCTCTATGGCTAACTAGTGTTAGCTTTGCACTCTGATCTTCAGGCAAGCTTTATTTGTTACATCATAAACAAAATGTCACCAGAGCTGAAGTTGGATCACGGGTATTTTACTGAAGATTTTTTTTATGTCTTATATGTCTTAGTTAGGGTTTCTATTGCTATAAAGGCACCATGAGCAGCTCTTCAAGGAAAACATTTAATTGGGGCTGGCTTACAGTTTCAGAAGTTTAGTTCATTATCATCATTGTGGGACATGGTGGAGTACAGGCAGACATGATGCAGGAGAAAGAGCTGAGAGTTACACATCTGATCTGCAGGCAACAGGAAGTAAACTCTGTCCCAAACTGAGTGTAGCCTGAGTATATGAGACCTCAAAGCCCCCCCCCCCTCTCCATTCCACCTTCACAGTGACACATCTCTTCCAACAAGGCCACACCTCCTAATAGTGCCACTCTCTAGGCCAAGCATTCAAACACATGAGCCTGTGGGGGTCACACCCCTTCAAACCTCCACACTATGTATGCCAATGATACGAATCTGTAGTTTCATTTTTTGTTCTGCTCACATTTGGCTGTGATTTCAAGGTGGTACTAGCGTTTTAGAATGATTTTGGAAGTGGTATCTTTTCTATTTTATTTACTGTTCAGTACATTTTTATATACTAAGTATGTATAAAAATTTTGAGTACATAACTAGTATATGTGTTGATTTGGTAAATTTGACTATGAACCTGTCAAGTCCTGAGCTCTTGTTTGGGAATTTTATTTTATTAGTTCAAATTAGGAACAAGCTTGCTTCAGATGTCAATCCCTTCTCCCCCAGGGAAAAAAAATTTAATACAGATTCAATCTCATTGTTTCCTATTGACCTGTTTAGGTTTTTCTTTTTTCTTTTTCAGTATTTTCTTGATTTAATTTTTTTATGTTATTAGTATCTAGAAATTTATTCACTTCTTTTAGATTTTCCTAGTGATTGGAATATAATTTGTCAAAATATTCCTTAATGATCTGGATTTTAGTGAGATCTGCTGTAATAGGGATATTACATGGTGTTTTTTGCCTCTGGTCTTATTGACTTACACGTTTGGTTACTTTGACTAAGGCCTTATCAGCTCTTTTTTCTTTTGAATGAACCAACTCTGTTTCATCAATCCTTTGTGTTCTTTTTGTTGCTGTTTCATTGATTTCAGCCCTGGACTTTATTATTTTTTCCTAGCAATTTTGAGTTTGGCTTCTTGTTTTTCTAAGATCTTGAAATATATTACTAAGTTATTTATTTGTTACTGCTCTGGTTTCTAAATGTGGGTATTCATAACTATGTGCTCTTTATTTTTTCCCCAAGAGATTATTTTTTTTTAGCTCAAATTAGAAACAAGCTTGCTTCACATGTCAACCCCTTCTCCCTCTCCCCCCCAACCCTCCGCCAGCCCCTCACCTCATCCCCCCTGTGCTCTCCAGGGAGGGTAAGGCCCTCCATGGGGTTTCCCAAAGTCTGTCATATCATCCCGGGCAGGGCCTAGGCCCTACCCCATGCGTCCAGGCTGAGAGAGCGTCCCTCCATGTAGGATGGATTACCAAAGTCCCTTCTTACACCAGGGATGCCAGGGATAAATACCGATCCACTACTAGGGGCCCCATAGAGTGTCCAGACCTCCTCATTGACATCCACATTCAGGGGTCTGGATCAGTCCGGTGCTGGCCTCCCAGACATCTGGGATCCATGCACTCTCCCTTGTTCAGGTCAGCTGTTTCTGTGGGTTTCACCAGCCTGGTCCTGACCTCTTTGCTCTTCATTCCGCCCTCTCTGCAACTGGGTTCCAGAGTTCAGTTCAGTGTATAGCTGTGGGTGTCTGTCTCTGCTTCCATCAGCCACTGGATGAGGGCTCTAGGATGGCATATAAAGAAGGCATCAGTCTCATAGGGGAAGGGCATTTAGATTATCCTCTCCACCATTGCCTAGATTGTCAGTTGGTGTCATCCTTGTAGATCTCTGGAAATCTCCCTAGTGCCAGATCTCTCCTGGAACCTCTAATGGCTCCCTCTGTTATGGTATCTCTCATACTGATCTCCTCTATTCTTCCCCCCAATCAACCTTTCTGCTCCTCCATGTTCTCCTCTCCCCTTCTCTTGTCCCCCTCTCATTCTCCACTATGTGCTCTTTAAACCTATCTATGATATATCCTATATGTTATGGTAAGTTGAGTTTTCATTTTCATTGATTTTTATGAATTGACCTCCTTCTACAAGGACCCATTAATAATTAAAAAGTACATTTTCTAATACCCATATGTTTATCTTTTTATGTTTCTCTTGCTGTTTATTTCTAGTTTTCTTCCATTATGATCTGATAGATAAAAGAATTTTTAAGAATTGGTTAGGATTTGCTCTGTGACCAAAAATATGGCATGTTTTAATGAAAGTTCCTTGGGTCGCAGAGAAGAATGCAAGTTTCCAGTCCAAACCTGCACCACTTTGTTATTCTCTCTCTCCCAGGAAAGAGTGGCCATTTGCTAGGATCCTCAGTTATTCAAAGGGTCAAATACATTTTGCATACAAAACTGCAGTTACACAATTAACATTTAAAACTTTTTGGCTTTTTATATGCTTGTTTCCCTTATGTGTTCTTTTTATCCTCCCACAGGAATGTAACATTCTGTAACTCAAACTGTTCTGAGAACAAGGAAAGAAAATTTGTAAAAGAACTTAAAAAAAAAATCCAAGTAGCAGTGAAGTTTACCTGGAACCTGCAACAGCTAAGAATTTTATAGCTTCACAGTCTGAACATGTGTCTTTAGGTTAAATCGTAAGTGTAATTTGGAATTAACTCTCCTTTAACAAATTCATAAATTCATTTAGTATATTGATTGCTTTGTCTTATAATATTAAAGGAAAGATTTTTATATTGTAAAGTAAGATTTTCATTCTAAAGTATGTCACTTGTAATATTAAGGGAGTACTTTTATATTGTAAAAGAAGATATTTAACCTAAATACAAACCTGACAGACCAAAATATGTCATCAAAAAGTTTGTAAAAGCTAAACTGTAAATATATTCTATATTCATTGTATTTATTTATATGTTATTTAAAGTTCCCTGGGTAAATATGAAATACACTAAAATAAAATGTAACTTTTGGGTTAGCAAAATATTTCAGTGGAGAAAAGCACTTGCCCCCTATCTTGATAAACCTGAGTTTGAGCTCCAGGGAATATATAATAGAAGGAGAGAATCAACTCCCACAAGTTGTCCTCTGACATACACACATTCTTACACACTAAATAAGGAAGTTTAAAACTTTTAACTTCATTTTTAAAAAATGACATAGAAAGCAAGGGTTTCATTTTTATACCTTTATCTAATGGGATATTTAAAATTGAAAAATTATATTTTATCCAATGACTGTGACACAAGGATACAGTGATGTGTTAGTTCTAGTCCGTATGTTTTTCCAGTGGGCTAAAACATTCCCTTGCTGGATGTGTTAGTTCTGGTCTATATGTTTTTCCAGTGGGCTAAAACATTCCCTTGCTGGATGTGTTAGTTCTAGTCCGTATGTTTTTCCAGTGGGCTAAAACATTCCCTTGCTGGCAAACTACATCCTTAAACAGTAACAAAATTTCTGAGAGGAAGAATTACTCCTACTGGAGGCATTCCTGTTAAAGCACATAATTATTAGGAAATTCACAGCAAATAATAAGATCTGCTTATAAAATTTGGCCTATTATACAACATTTTATTATGTCAGAATTAACAAAAACTTTTGACATCCTTAGCCAAAGACATTATTTTCAATCTAAGATCTACACCTTTTTGAAAATATTAGTTTTCTTCTTATAAAGTAATTACTCCATCTTAAGAAAATAAAGACTATTTGGGTGGTGGTGGCACATGACTTTGATCCCAGCACTCAGGAGGCAGAGACAGAAGGGGCTCTATGAGTTCTAGGCCAGCTAGGTCTACAGAGAGAATTTCAGGACAGTCAAGGCTACAGAGAAACCCTGTCTCAAAAAAAAAAAAGAGGGAGGAGAGAGGAGGGGGGAGAGAGAGAGAGAGAGAGAGAGAGAGAGAGAGAGAGAGAGAGAGAGACTAGAGCCATCTTTGCTAAGGAAGTATTTTTAAATGTAAATTTCAAAATTCAAAATTTATTAATTTGTCCATAGTGAGCTGCCAAAATACAAAGAATTAAATGAAAGTAGGCTAAAACTAGGTGATTTTGTCAATTAAAAGAGGTAACACGAAAAATTGCCTTCAATCTGTATGTAGAATTGTGGCTGGAGAGATGGCTTATTAGGTTAGGAGCTTTTTGTATGTAATGCTTTAAAAATTGTCTGAAATACTTAAAATTCCTATGATATATTTTCCTGAACGCAAAAACAGTGCTGTTCTTGGCTCTAGCAAACTACAAATGAAGATCACGCTGTTATGTCCTCTTACTGATGATGGTTTTCTGAATACTATTTACTTGGTCCGATTTTCTTCCTCCTTAACCCAATTCTTCATGTTCAAACTATCACATTCTTCACTGTTTTCATCAAAGAATCCTCTATAATTCCATGTTTTAGTGTATTTTTAAACTGACAGAGTCTTACTTTAGACATTCCAAAAGAAACTCCAGAACTGGAGATATAGCTCAGCAGTTAAGGGTACTTGTTGCTTTTGCAGAGGACTTGGAATCAGTTCCTAGCACCCACATGGTGGCTCATGATCATCAGTAACTCTATTTCCAGGGGATCTGATGGCCTCTACTAAACTCCTCAAGCGGCAGGCACTCATGCAAGGAAAACACTCTGATATGGCAAATAAAGCAAATACAAAAATGAAAGTGAAAAAAGAAGCTCTGTTTGGGGGCAGCTTCTCTCTCTCTCTCTCTCTCTCTCTCTCTCTCTCTCTCTCTCTCTTTTTAAATTTGTTTTATTTATTTATTATGTATACAACATTCTGCTTCCATGTATGTCTGCACACCAGAAGAGGGCACCAGATCTCATTACAGATGGTTGTGAGCCACCATGCGGTTGCTGGAAATTGAACTCAGGACCTCTGGAAGAGCCAGCAGTGCTTTTAACCTCTGAGCCATCTCTCCAGCCCTCTCTCTCTCTTTTTAAAGATCTATTTATTATGTATACAACATTCTGCTTCCATGTATATCTGCACACCAGAAGAGGGCACCAGATCTCATAACGGATGGTTGTGAGCCACCATGTGGTTTCTGGGAATTGAACTCAGGACCTCTGGAAGAACCGGCAGTGCTCTTAACCTCTGAGCCATCTCTCCGGACCGGGGCTGCTTCTCTTTTATATCCAAACTCTGAAAGCTGTAAATAATAAAACTTCTTCCTGCTAAGAAGGAAAAAAAAAATATTAAGGCCAACCAATTGAGATTTGCTATTGAAATTAACAGAATTGTTGTATTACAAATTAAAGGTTCAGGAAAGCCTTTAATAGCTAGATATAGTCATAGATATAGACATAGTCAGATGTTTGCCTATCTTACAGTGACTTTAACTATTGACTCCTATTTAAGGTTACCCAAAGATTTTGGGTTGGCTGGGGTTTTTTGTTTTGTTTTGTTTTGTTTTCCAAAACTGTACAAAGGAAAAAAAGTCAGATTTAATGAAAATAGCACTTACAGTTCTTCATCTCTTGAGAACCCATGGGTTTTTGTTGTTGTTTTTTGTTTTGTTTTTGAGATAGATTTTCACTTTGTAGCCTCGGCTAGAGACCAGGTTGGCCTCAAACTCAGAGAGATCCTCCTGACTCCACCTTCCAAGAATTAGGATTAGAGACTTGGGCCACCTCACCCTATAAGTGAGTGTTTCTTGATTGAAAAGGCCTTTAAAGGTGTCCCAATAGTATACTTAGTATATATGTATATATATATATATATATATATATATATATATATTCAATGTTCATATATTGCTAATGAGAAGTAAATGGACAGTATTACAGAGTGAGTCTTATTTCCATTTCTTCAACATAAAATTTAAAAATGAGATTTGACTGTGCTGACAAAAACTGTAAAAGTCTTCATTTCAAGTTAGACCTTATTTCTCTCTCTTGTCACTAATAGTATTTGGTATCTGGGGTAAAAGATAATTTTTGTTAAAAAGCAATGAAAAGAGATAATATATTGTTATCTGATTCTTTTTGTAATGTGACTATTCATTTACTTCCCCAAACTGAAATCTAATGTATTATTAACATAGTAAAATGAGTAATTACAAATATAACTTAACAATAATTTAGATATTAAATACAAGTCTTTCCTAAAATTAGAACTAGGAATTACACAGGAAGTTATAGCTATGGAATGCATTTCCCCAAATAAATGACAGTTAGTCCAAACATCAAATGAAATGTTTCATAGAATACAGACTACACTGTAAATATATAGTCAGTCTAATTAAAGAGTCTGATTTTGGTTAGAAACTCGTTAAAATGTCTGCCTCTCTTATCTTCTACCTCTCTTTCTTTAGACCATATTGTGTCCTTGATTATTTTAACCTTATATAGTCTCATATTTATGTCTAGGGCTGGAGAGATGGCTCAGTGGTTAAGAGCACTTGTTCTTGTAGAGGACCTGGATTCAGTTCACAGCATCCACATGGTGGCTCACAACTATTTGTAACTTTGGCATTCTCTTCTGGTTTTCATGAACACTGGGTTTTTTGCACATGGTTCACAGACATACATGATAAACACCCATACACATAAAATAAAAGTACTTATGTTTATGCAATATCCACATCATTTTATTTATTTCAGATACAGACAATACAGGAAGAAAGAAAAACTCAGACCCACTTCCTGCTGTCTGATTTGATGTATCCAAGGATTTATTCCCTAATGGCTTGCCAATTATTTCATGAAAACTTACTTCCCTTCTGTTTACTCAGCCTCACCTTTATCAGATGGTAGGAGGGAAGTTAGCTTCCTTAACAGTTGGATTGCAAGGGTAACCCTGAACTGAACTTCCCAGAAGGAAACCACTGTACAAGATGTACAAGGTTGAATGACTTATTAGAACTTTAGGAAAGTAAACAGACTATGCAGATCCAGGATTGCCTTAGAGTTTCTGTTGGTGGCCTCAAACACCATGACCAGGGCAACTTGGGGAGGAAAAGGTTTATGTAGCTTACACTCACATATCACTGTTCGTCATCAAAGGAAGTCAGGACAGGAACACAAAAAGTGTAGGAACCTGGAGCAGGGGCCGATGCAGAGGCCATGGAGGGATGCTACATACTAGCTTGCTTATCATGGCTTGGTCAGCTTGGTTTCTACAGAACCCGAGACTACCAGCCCAGGGATAGCACTGTCAACCATGGGCTAGGCCTTCCCTCATATTACTAATTAAGTATCCTCAGGCTTGCCTACAATGCAGTTTTATGGAGGCAGTTTCTTAATTGAGGTTCCCCCCTCTCAAATAATTTAACTTGTGTTAGGCTAATATAAAACTGTGTTACAAGGACCAAAACTAAAAACCAGGCTGTTTTTAGTTTCTTTGAAAGCCATTCATTGCCCAGCCCCATGTCTGAGCTAGTATCTCTGTAATTGCCAAAACATTTAAAATGGTTGTTTGAATGAGAATGGTCCCTTTTGAGTCATATGTTTACATACATGGTTCCCAGTTGATGGAAGTGTTTGAAAGGATTAGGAAGTTGGAGATAGTCACTGGGGGCTGACTTTGAGGTTTCAAAATCTATACCATTCCTAATTCTCTCTGTCTTGTGTTTGTGGATCTGATCCAAATTCCTGTGTTAGTGGTTGTAAGCTCTCAGCTGCTGATCCAGCACCATGCCTGCACATCTGTTGCCATGCTCTCCATCTTGATAGTCATGGATTCTAACCCTCTCAAACTGTAAGCCCCAAATAAACTTCTATAAATTGCCTTGGACGTAGTGTCTTATCACAGCAATAGAAAAGTAACTAAGACATACTTGGGAGTGGGGTATTGATGCTGGGCCTGATCATACTGGGTTGCTTGTTTGTTTGTTTGTTTTTGAGAAACAGGGAAGAGTTTGGGAGATTGGATTAGGAATACAATTGAATGCTCTAAGCAGGGTTTAACAGACCATCCTAGTAGAGCAAAAAGCAAGTGGATTATGGTGGCTGGCTCAAGAGGTTCAGAGGAAAACAATATTAGCTACTAGCCTAGAGAGCATTCTTGTGAAAAATGGGGTTGCATTCTGCCCTTGTCCCCAAAAATTTCTTGAAGCAAAATTGAAAAACAGTGGATTAATTTCCTTGGTGAAGATAATAAGACTGCCTAATATTGGCTCCGTCATATGGTTACTTATAATCACTCCTATGAGGGTCTATAATGCCACCCAAAAATGTGTTTTATTTGGTGCTTTTTTATTTTATAATTTTTTTATGATTTTACTGTCATTTTCTGTGAATGGCCTGTTTATGTCTCTGGTCCATTTTAGACTATTCCCATTTATGTGTTTTTCTATATTGCAGTTATGACCACTTATAAACTGCTGCACATAATTTCTGATGTGGTGTGTATGTGTGTATAGGCTAGAAGTCAACATCTGAGATCATCCTTTGTCACTCCCCAACTTATTCTTTGGAACAGGATCTCTCACATGATCATTGGCTTACCACTGGCTGGACTGGCTGGCTTATGAGCACCTGGATTTCTCCTGTCTCTTCCCTCCCCCACACCAGGCGGGTTACAAGTGTAACTTGGGTCCTCATGCTTGCACAGTAAACACCTTACCCACTGAGCCATCACCCATCTTCCATAATTTAATGAAAAATTACTAGATAAGGGAAGTTAGGGAGCCTCTGTGGTTAGTAATTATTATTAGATAAGGGAGATAGCCTTGACATGGCCATTTCTTGCTCTAAGCTGCAAGTTTCTTAGTAACATTTAATATCATGTCCACTGTGGGTTGAGCACTCTATAAATGATTCACAACAGATGAGGTAAAGGCCTGACTCTTTGACTCTTGTCTTCAGAGTACTTAAAGTCTAATGTCTTAAGCCATTCAAGGATTTTATAATAATAAAAAAGAGAAAATAGTGTAATTAGAAAAACTTAGAGCTGGGCATTGGTGGTTCACACCTTTAATCCCAGCACTTGGAGGCAGAGGCAGGCTCGGATCTCTGTGAGTATAAGCCTAGCCTGGTCAGGACAGGCTCCAAAGCAATACAGAGAAACCAAAAAAAGAAAAGGAAAAACTTAGTAGGACATGTCTCTGATTTCTTCTCCTAAATGTCCTACTCTCCAACTTCTCACTGATATCTGCACTGAATCCTTAATTATTTTCTCTTATTTTTAAAATTATATTTTACCAGCCATATTGGAAATAAAGTATTCCATCTTTTAAAATTTTTGTGTATTGTTATTGTTACATGTTTGGCCTTCATGTATGTCTTCTGTGTACCACATACAGAGGCCAGAAGAGGGTATCCAGTTCTCTGGAACTAGGGGTTGTAGACCGCTAGGCTGTGATCTGGAATTGAACCTTGGGTCTTCTGCAAGAGCAGCAAGTGAGCCTTTCTGCAGAGCTGTCTCTCCAGCTTCATTCTATTTTTTTTGAAATAGTTTGTTGTTGGGGTACAAAGTCAAGTATATAAACTCAACTTTGATTTTTAACTTGAATACTAATTAATCTTTTTTTTTTTTAACCATTTCAGATAAGACCATGAATTACGGATGTTCTTAAGTGAAGAATTCAGGAGTGAAATGAATGTTACATAGAAAATAAATGATTTTTAAGTTATGTCTATTAATTTGACTCTAGATATATATATTTACTTCCTTGGTAATGCAAGAAGTCTTTGTGGGAATCAGAGAAGCAAACAGCTGCCTTTTGTGTGTTCTAAGAATTATTGGCGAGTGAACCAATCACTCAGTGTGCACAGAGATTTTCACACGAGTAAGAAAAGCTGTAAATGGAGCAAAGGTAAAGCATGTTGCAGTAAGCACTGGCACTCTCCAAGCGACCATGGCTTACATATTGGAGGTTTGAAACTTAGCACTTCTGCTCCTAAGGGACTTACAAAGGTGAGCATTCATATGTCCCGTATTAAAAGTACTTTGAATTCTGTTTCAAAGGCTATTTTTGGCAGTCAAAATGAAATGGTTTCACGGTTAGTTCAATTTAAGCCAAGTTCTCGATTTTTAAGAAAAATATCAGACAGGGGCTGGTTAAAACAAAACAATGTTAAACAAGCCATTGAATCTCTGAAAAAGTATAGTGATAAGTCAGCAGAAAAGAATTCTATTGTGGAACAGAAAAGTTACATTGCAGATAAAGAAGAAGATACAGGTAAACGGAGCCTTTTCCATTGCACATACAATATAACGAACAGAGTTGAAGAGTCATTCTACATTTTAACCAACCATATTAATATATACTTCAATCGCAAGGAAAAAATGCCTCAAACAAAGGAAATTAAACATCTTCAGGACAAACCAGACTTTGAAGAAGGGAAATCCGATTCTCTTAGCCCCAACATCCTGACAAACACATCAGACTCAGGATCTCCCCTTGACGCTGGGGACAAACCTTCTAGCCCTAGCCAGATGCCCGAGGTTCTTCCAGGGTCTGCAAAGCAAAGTATTGCTAACTTCCTTTCTCGTCCAACTGAAGGCGTACAAGCCTTAGTTGGTGGTTACATTGGTGGACTTGTACCCAGATTAAAGTCTGACTCAAGGAGTCAACCAGAAGGACAAGAAGAGCCTGCTAAAACTGAGCAAGCTGTCAGCAAAGACAAGAAGGCAGAGGAGAAGAAGCGAGTGTCTCTTCAGCGAGAAAAGGCAAGTTGTTTCTCAGTGTAGGCCTAAGAAGCATTAACCATTTACAGGATAACTATCTCCTAATCACATGTTTTGTATAACCTTGTAGATTATTGCAAGAGTGAGTATTGATAACAGAACTCGAGCCTTAGTTCAGGCCTTAAGAAGAACAACCGACCCAAAGCTCTGTATTACTAGGGTTGAAGAACTGACTTTTCATCTTCTAGAATTTCCTGAAGGAAAAGGAGTGGCTGTCAAGGTAATTTCTACTTATTTAATATTTGTCTTGAAATAGAAATTCTAATAAACTTTTTAAGTGGGAATGCAGAGCCTTTCTCATTTGAAAATGTTTGTTTTAAATCACATAATATATTTGATAATTGCCCCATTATTTTATGATACACATTAGGCTAATTAATTACTTTTAATCTGTGTCATAAATTCTGCCATGATTATGAATATCTATAGTTTGAGTTGAGCATGTGTGAAAATGGAGCATAAGTTTAAAGATGTTAGTTGCATTGCTTGATAATTGTCAAATTCTTAATTGCAGTGCAGGTATTTTTACTATGTAATCACTTTTTCAAAATGTGAATTAGCCAGGTATGTCATACACCTTTAATCCCAGTGTTTGGGAGACTGAGGCAAGAGCATCGTTAGTGTGAGACCAGTCATGGCTATATAGCAGGATTTTTTCTTCAAAACAAAAGACAGGAAACATAATATAGAAAGCCATTGCTAATTTTTCTTCGCCATCCCATGGTTCTTTCACATTTGAAGTCCAAAAATTTTAGCTAATAATTGAATTGGTAAAGCAATTAGCTTTCCTCAACTCAGTAGTCCATATAGGCAGTAGTGAACAAAGTATAGACTTCATAAGTGACCAAGGAAGGTGAGTCTCTGGGTCTAAGTAAGTTTACTTGTGTACTTAGTAATTTGGAAATACTATAATGAAATTGTTACAGTTTCATTAAAACCCTGTTAGTACTTTTTTAAAAGTCTACCATACAGAAAATTGTTACTTTATACTTTTTCTACCTTCTGTCTTGCTGAAAAGTATATCTTTGAAATGTGCCCTTTAATAGTTTTACATTGTCTAACACATATATACAGAGCGTCACTATTTCATATCCCTAAAATTTGAGATTTATATTTTATATATTGATGTATCTTTTAGAGATAAGATTTTGAAATAAATGTGTGCTTTTAAGGATAGTGTTTATGTCAGGGATAGCCAGAAAAGAGAGATCTAAAATAGAATTACTGTTTTAGTTCACTGAGTTGCTGTAACAAAATACCTTACCCTGGGTGAGTTACATTCAACAGAAAGCTGCTTCTCAAAATCCGCATTCTGAGAGGCCCAGGGAAAAATACTGGCAGATCTGAGGTCTAGTGAAGGTTTGCTGGCTATATGCTGCAGCTTGTGACTAATTCACAAGGCAGCATCTCCTTTTGGCCCCATTCTCAACGTCTCTAATCTCATGTGTGAAGCAAGGTCTCATGACCTAAGCACTTCCTGAAAGATCCTACTTTTTAATATTAATCCACCAGGAACTAAGTTCCAATATGAATTTTACAAGAGACCTAGCATTTGGATATAGCATATGTTTTAAAGAATGATTTAACAGCATCTTATTCAAGAATAATGTAGATACATTTGTGTCAAGTGAAGTTCACAGACTTAGGTAGCATAGAAGGGAACAGAACAGTGTCAACCCTGGAAGTCTTCCTTCCACCTCTCAGTTGTAGTCTGCAGAAAAGGTTAGTTTGGGCTCCATGTGTGTTTGCTTTTTTTCATTTGACACATAGACAGGATTTATTTGAAAGTGGTGGTGGGTAGTTGTAAATGATTCATCCTCGTTGCTTGCATTTATTACAGTAGGTCACAATTTAGTCTTTGTACTGTTAATGGATTTCTGCCTTAGTCTATTAGGAATTATCTTAATAGTTGGACTGTTGAGGATTCTCTTAGTTTTGAGAACTGATCCCAAATATAAGAAACCATCAATACGGAGGAGAAATGTGGTGTAGAAATTCTATCAGATAGTCAGGAAAGAAAATTAGGTAGTTGGAAGAAAGTTGTCACCTTTCCCCTAAATAATAATCTAAAAACAATGAACTGAAGAAATTTCATCATGTGTTACTTGGTTGTGAACTTTGCCAACTAAACTTCTTTTTGCCAATTTCTCCCACTGTCATAAGCAATTTTTCTTTTTCTTCTTTGTATTCTTCAGATAGGCTCATTATGAAGTTTAGCCAAGCTTTAAACTTACTATGTGGCTCATTCTGGCCAGATCTGCTTCAGCCTTCTGCCTCTGCCTTTCAAGTACTGGATATGCACCACCATTGGTGTGGGTAACCAGCTCTTTTACTGGTTGACACAGTTCCTTTGTATGTTACAAGTTCTCCAGGAGAATTATGTATGTGTACCATGTCTTACCAACTGTGCTTATCTTTTCAATCTTTTTAAAAGATGACCAGATACTAGTTTTAATGTAGCCCAGTTTATATGTATTTATGTGTTCTATTTAAAAAATGTTTGAATCTTCATATTTTGGTAAGTGTAGCTCTTCACACACTCGTCAGAGAAGTGGGTGTTTTTTGTTGTTGTTGTTGTTTTTTGTTTTTGGCAAGGAGAATTGTAGCAGTGGTAGTCGAAAGTTTACAACAGCCAGAAAATCAGGACAGTTGTGTTTAGATTGTGTCACCTGGACAGGACAGGAGAATGTACCCAGGAACTCACAGTGAGAGCTGCCTGAAGAAGACAGGCACAATGATAATATTAGTTGAAATGTTAATGTGGGTGTGGGAAATCCCACACGCTCCTACCCTATCCTAGATGAAGAACTACAGGTAGTCAATGGCTGCTGACAGAGGGAGAACCACTTCCTCCAGTGAAGAGCTCCCATATAGGTTGTTCAAACCCAGTCAGCCTTGGACACATACATGTCCATTCAGGCAAAAGCTTAACAGACTCAATAGGTTCTACACTGTCTGGTCCGTGTCATCCCCCCCATCCCCCCCGTCTCTCTCTTACACACACACACACACACACACACACACACACACACACACACCACTACTGACACCACCAACAACAATAAAGAAAAGGTCATGAATTTGGGAGGGAGGGCATAGGACAGGAGGAAATAAATGATGTAGATGCAGAACTTATATATGAAGTTCTCAAAAACATAAAATTAAATTTTAAAAATAAAAAATAATTTTTTTCCTACCCTGAGTATTTCTATGTGTTTTCTCCAAAAAATTTGTTTTGCCTTTCATACCTGTATATATTGTTCATCTAGAGTACAATGGTGTAAGGTAAATGTTCTGATACTTAATATACATATCCAGCTGAACAGGCAACCATTTGTTGAAAAAAAAAAAAAAAAAACCTTGTCATATGACTGTCTGTGGTAACATGTGAATCTGGTATCCTGTTAAGTCCAAAAGAGGGCATGAGAACTGTGGAGCTGGAATTAACGGCAATGAACTTCCATGTGGGTACCAGGAATTGAAACCCAGACCTTGGAAAGTACAGCCAGTGCTCATAATCACTTACCCAGCTCTACGGTCCCTACTTTGACTATTCTTAATATGCCATATGAATTTTAAAGTTAAACAAAAAGGAGAATAAAATTATGCAGAAATTGCATTGAATCAGTAGGACAGTTTGTATGGTAAATTCAGTATCAATTTGATCATTGTTTTTCATCAGTGTTTAAAAATTCTTCAGTGTGAGTGCCTTATACATCTTTGATTAGGCTTATTAGTTCATAACTATGTGATGCTTTGAAATATAATTTTATTAATATTACTGTGATTTAAGCATCTTTTATTGGTAATCCTAATAGGAGAATCACCCATGGTCTTTGACTATATAATACCAATTTGACATACATTGTGACTTTTCTGTGTGTTGGGCATTGTGAGTTCCAAAAATTGTATAAGTTCTACATTTCCTTTCCTAGAGAGTTACTTTGCTCCTCTGCTGACATACCAAATGGAACATCATCACTAAGTTAGGGCAGAGCTGAGTTTAGGATGATTAGAGTTTGGTAAAGACCCCTAATTTTCCCTGTTCTTAGGGTATATTCCTTCACTACTACCATGCCTTGGGTCGTTCAAACTCAAAAATACAAACCATTATCTTGTTTTTTCAGAAGGCTTAAGTTTAGCATTTTTCCCCTCCCATGTATTCTACTTCTGCAAGTGTGTTAATTTGAAATCAGCTTTGCAATGCAAGCTTCCCAGGTCTTCAGTTTTGGCAATCCTACCTCATGAGAATATATGCTTAGCTAGGTTCTCTGTTTCTTTGTGGCCCTCTATAAACCAAACCCAGCTTTTCTGTCCTTTGTGTCTTCCCAGAACCAGCAAATACCCGAAGGAAAGAGCAAGTTTATCAGCTCCTAGCAGCAGTTTATCCCTCTCCAGATGGAAAACTGCTCACCATGCTACTTTAGTAGCTCTGTAGTGCATTTAAAAGGTGGTCTTCTTGAGTTTGCTCTTGGCATAGGTGTGGACCTCTAAGGAATTGTTGCATCCTAACCAGAATTGGAAATTTGCTTATGTATCCTCCACCATTGTTCCGATTCCTGTAGGGGCCTGTGGAGCTCAGTACTAGCTAGGACACAAAGCAGAACAACAAAGATAGTATTTCAGATTTGGTTGGCCAGAACAAGACACAAAGCTAGTAATATATTTGAAAATTATTCCATTTATTGAACATTACACAGCTCAACTTTTCCCTTATCTAAGTTTTTTTGCCAAAATTACTACTAATTGTATTAAGAGAGTTATATTTTCTATATTTAGTATTAAATGTTTTCTATTTTGAAGGTAGTCTTGTTATGTAATTCAGGCTGGCCTAAACTTATTCTGTAGCGCAGTCTGGCCTCAAGCTCACAATCCTCCTTCCTTAGACTTCTGAGTGCTGGTATTATAGGGATGTGTTATACCATTTGACAAACATTGCACTTTAGAGAAAACATTCAGTCAGAGACTGTTTTTTTTTTTTCTTTTTTTTGTCCTCAAATTAGGATAAATTGTTACTGATATTAGCCTGTCATAAAGTAATCATTCTTAATTACAGAGAAAGTAATAAATATGCTTTGATTTTATGATCTATTCACATCAGCTAAAAATACATGTTTTCTTTTTGCTATAGTGTGTTTAGCACAGGCTGGTCTTGAACTCCAGATTCTCCTGCCTCTGTCGCCCTGATGTTGGGATTCTACATGTGTGCTGCCAAGCCAGCTATACTTTCCTTCTTGGTTTGACATAAGTAACAAAGTATCTTTTTTTTCCAATGTAGGAAAAAATTATTCCATATTTATTACGACTTAGACAAATAAAGGATGAAACTCTTCAGGCTGCAGTTAGAGAAATTTTGGCCTTAATTGGTTATGTGGATCCAGTGAAAGGGAGAGGAATCCGAATCCTTACAATTGATGGTGGAGGAACAAGGTAAGGCTAGGAAAAAATGTTTTTTAAAACTACAGATTTAATTTAGCTTTAAAAATTTTAATATAGTTATCATATATTTATATTTATATAAAATATTGCAATACAGAGAAACCCTGTCTTGAAAAACAAAACAAACAAACAAAATTACATGTGTGTTTGTTTTTTCCATATGTACAGTTAGTCAGCTAGTTGCATAATATGGTGATGGTTAGAAGGAGAATCTAGTCCATTAACTTGCTACTTCTCCCTGTCTTCCCTAGATGTCAGTTTTGGCGCAATACAAAAACTAAAAATAAATGCCATCTTTGTTCAGTAGACAATTTCACTGTCAGTCTAAATTGTTACTATCTGCAATCATCTGTGCTTATTTTTTCACAGTTTACTCTATCATAGTTTACCTAGTTTCTGGCCTTGTCTTTTGAACCTTTTCCCTAGAATTTTCTATGCTAGGTTCTTATTTCCTTTGACATTTGCCCTTTACCTCTGATCTACTGTCCTATGCACTTGTGCATTACTCTGTGTTTGAGCAGTGTCCTTTTTGTTTTATTTCACAATTCTACCTGTTAGTTGAGTCCTTGACATGAATATGAAATGAAAGGTAGATGCAAAAAGGAAGCTATTTTAGAATCTAGGCATAAGACAACTAGTTACTAACCTTACATGATGGCCATATAAATTCAGAAGTAGGAAGAGAAGATATATAAGAAATTTTTGAAGAAAATGAGACTAGATATGGTAAAAAAATATCAGTTAAGAGTTAAGATCATTTTAAGTGTAAGTTCTGTGAGTGATGGACAGAATTGTGGAGATAGAGATGATTGGTATTAGCAAAGGGGTCTGTTTGGATTATGTTGAATGTAAGGTTATATATTGTAAAGCAATGCTCAATTGTCAAAAGAGACCTAACTGAAGAGAGAAAAATCATAAGAGATCTTGATGGGCATTTTGCTTAGTTTGGGGTTACAGGCTTTTACCATATAGCTCAAGCTGGCCTCCAGCTTGTGATCCTCTTCAGTCATCCTTCTGAGAGCTAAGATTACATGCATGCATCACCATACCCAGCTAACATGGTAGCTATTTAATGGGACAGTGTAATAATCCAGTAAGGTGTTCTTTCTTTGTGTGTTAATATAAAATGGTAATGAGTTGAAGAGAATTGTTGACACTTTACTGAGTCAGTCCCAAGGCTGAAAAGTAGGAAAGCAGTAATAGTCCCTTTATCATTTATTCCAGGGGAGTTGGGATGGGTAGTTCATTTATTGAATTAGCTAGTTGAATGCCCTCCCCCTCATGTTACAGAAACTCATTTAGATATTGGAAACATTGAGTAACAATACAGACAAAACTCATGTTTTGTAATGATTGCATTCTAGAGAAGAAAAGTGACAAGCAGGAAAAACAACAATGTGTTATTGGGTCTTCATGTAAAGGAAAGGAAAGCAAAGTGAAAGCAGGGGTAGGAACTTTATAATGACTGATTTCATCATATAAAATAATTAACATTTACCAGTCTACAAGAATATTACAAGTCATCAACACTTCTTTTTAACGTGAGAGCTACAGTATGTTGGAAGAAACATTAGTTATTCACTGCTGGTGGGCGTGCAAACTGGTAGAGTTGCTGTAGTAATCAGTATGAAGATTCCTGAGCAAGCTAGAAATGGATCTGCCATATAAGGCATAGCACTTCTGGGCATATACAAACGAGATACTTGCTCATCCATGTTCATTACTATTGTATTCACGATAGCTAGGAAGTAGAACAGTCTAGATGTCCACTGACTGATGAGTAGATAGTGAAAATATCATAATATGCAAATGTAATTTTATTCAGCTGCAAAGAAAGCTGAAATAGTGAAGAAACCCAGACCCAGGAAGATAAATGTTCTTTCATATGTGGATTTTAGGTTTGCGTTTTTAACATGGAGTACCTAAAGAAGCCAGGAAGCTAGAACTGGGTCATTTAGCCAGTGGGAGAAAGACCTTGGGGGGGATAATAGAACACAGGTGTCAAGTGTGGACCTAAAGGAATAAAGATCCTGAAAAGTGAGGCGTCAAATGGAGGACAGGGCATGAGAAATAAAGAAGACAAAAGCAATAGCTTTAGGCATAACTCCAGCCTAAAACTGGCCTTGCCAAGTCCATTGCTGGAGAAGGGCACAGAATGAAAGTTCTCTTTGTCTTTTCATCAAGGCCTCTGAGAAAGTCTTGGATTAGTCTGCTCTCAACAGTAGGGATTGGGAGAGTAGTGCAGAAGAGGGGGTAGGGACAGGTATAACTAATGGTAATAGTATTTGAACTGGGGTGACCGTACAGAAAGGGCAAAGGAATAATGGTTCTCCTAGAAGTCATAGGTTACCAAACAAAAGCTCTAGATGTGGGATACTTCCCTTCTAGTTGTTGGTCAGGGGTTTCCAGACATCCCCTTCAAACAGTACAGGGCTAGTGCCACCCCCTTGGTCACCCTCCAGAACTTGATGGTGAGACCTGTGCTAAGGACACCACACAGTTTGATCATCAGACATGGACAGATCAACTCTATATTAATTTGGAGTTTCCTCCCTACTGGTTAGATTTTATAGTGTTGTGCAGGCTGCTGGGGAGAAAAGTCAAGTCAGCAATGTTTTTGTGAAACATTGATGAACTCTGAGCTGCATAGGAACACAGTTGGCAAGATGTGCATATCGATGCACTGGTGACATGTTATGGCTGTAGCCAGCTGCTTTCTGATTGGGATTAAGACGTTTTACACAGAAAGGAACTCATACCTGGTTCTATAAACCTGGCAAAGAACCAGTGGCTGAGGTCATAGGGGAGATTACTTCTGGGGAATATTCTACTAAATGGACATTGCATCAGACTGCCTTCTAAATACTTATAATTCATAGATTGATGCAGCTCAGCCCATGACAGAGAAACATCTTTGTACAGTGGACTGCAGTTTATATTGAGACAGTCAGCCAAAGTGACATTTGTATTGCACTTCCTTCCCCCAAGGGTCAAGGAACATCTTGAAGAGAAGGCAGAAAGACTGTAAGAACCAGATGCTGGAGATAAGTGTGCTGAAATACTATCTTCTGAATATGACAGGCTTGTAGGGTTGTTGTACTCATGAACTCACAGTAGCCTTAGTTGTTAACCCAAAATACTACACACCAGTAATCAACATCCCAGTATGAACGAAGGAAGGAAGGGCTCGTGGGTGAGACCTCTCACTCTTAGCTGAGAGCTGGCATCAATTGATGGCTTCCCGAGAAGGGAGAATCAGTTTTCTTTGGAGGTAGGTGTAGTCTCTCGCATACATTGTCCCTATACTCCACTGGGTGGCCCTACATCCATGCATGTCAGGACAGCACTAATTGGACAGAGGGGAGATCGAGAGGGGAGTGGAGAAGGAGGGAAGGAGGGGGGAGGGAGGGAGAGGAGATGTGAGGATATGAAATAGGGAGGGAGATGTAGAGAGAGGGAATTTTAGGAGGGGTTGTTTGAAGGAAGGAGAAGGGAGGATGAATGAACTACATAGTGTACTTTAGTGTACTTGTATGGAATTTTTAACAAGTAGAGAAAATAAGAAGTCATTTATAAGTCTTTGATCTCATAAGAATTATGTGATCACACAGAGTGAGGACATTTTGGAAAATCTGGGACTGGGCTTAGATGAAGGTAGGTTTAATATCAGTCCTCCACTGGAGGTATCTAGAGATACTTCTTGCTGTCGCTGTCACACTGAAGGACTTTCATCCTACATGGCAGAGTAAGGTTCCCCAGAACAGATTTAACTGACCCAGAGAGTCCCTCTTTCTGTAGTTGAGAAACTTGGGTTTAGGAAAATAAGAGAAACTAACCGGAAAGGGAGGTTTGTGTTGAGTACTAAGGTGCAAGGGATTGTAAAAGAACCCGCATATTATTTGTTTGATTTGTTTTGTTTCTTGAAGTAGGATCTCACTGTGCAACCCAGGTGGACTTGCAACTATCTTTGTGGCTCAGGCTGTTGAACACATAGTCTTAGCCTACCAAATACTGGGATTACAAGTGTGCACCCTCACACCTGGCCTGAGAACTATGTATTTTATTGTGTCTGTGTGTAAAAAAAAAAAAAAAAATGGTAGTTATACATTAGCAATCTAACAAATCCATATATTTTATTAATTCTGAGTTCATTTATAAATACTGCCTTTTTGTTGATTTCTTTGTTTAAATAAAGTCATTAATTTCCCCATTCATATATGTACTTAGAAACATTGGGGAAGGAAAAAGAAAAGACAGTCCATAAATCAAAACTTCAATATTACTTTAATATTTTGACTTATTTTCTTCAAGTCTTTTTCTTGGGGGTATATACATACATGTTTAATTCCTTTGCACACCAGTGGAGGTCACATTGTTAAATCTATTTTATACAGCATCATCTTTAATTCTTTATGTCTTACCTGGGATTAAAATATAGCAGCTCTCTTATAAGCCATTGTCTGATAGTTTCTGGAATTCACATCACTTATCACAGCTTTAAAAAATAAAAGTTGGGGCTGGAGATGGCTCAGAGGCTAAGAGCACTACTGCTCTTACCAAGTTCCTGAGTTCAATCCCCAGCAACACCATGGTGGCTCACAACCATCTGTAATGAGGCCTGTGCCGGTTTGGTTTATTTTTGTTTTAACTTTTTTTAACCTACTAATCCCAGTCCCCACCCCATTCAGTTCCCCCCACCTTCCTCTCACCATACCACCCCTTCCTCTTGTGCTCCTCAGAGAGGGTAAGACCTCCCATCGGGAGTCAACAAAGTCTGTCCCATCACCATATTGAGGCAGGACCAAGGTACTCCCCCCTGTGTCTAGGCTGAGCAAGATATTTCTCCATACGAAATGGGTTGCAAAAAACCAGTTCATGCACTAGGGATACATTCTGGTCCCACTGCCAGTGGCCTCACAAACTGCCCAAGCCACCCACTGTCACCTGCATTCAGGGGCCTAGTTCAGTCCTATGAAGGTTCCTCAGCTGTCAGTCCAGAGTCAGTGAGCTCCCCCTGGCTTGGGTCAGCTGTTTCTGTGGGTTTCCTCATCATGGTCTTCACCCTTTGCTCATATTATCCCTTCTCCCTCTGGACACTGGGAGCTCAGCCCAGTGCTTAGATGTGGATCTCTGATCTGCTTCCATCAGTTTCTAGATGAAGGTTCTATGACGACAATTACGGTAGTCCTCAATCTGATTACAGGGGAAGGCCAGTGGAGGTAACCTGTCCACTATTACTTAATAAGAGTTTTATCTGGTGTAAAAGTCATCATTGTGTACTCCTGGTAATTTCTCTAGTGCCAGGTGTCTCCATAATCCCTTAATCAAGATAATTCTTTCCTTGTTCTCCCTCTCTGTCCTCTGTCCTCCCCCAGCTTCACCATCCAGTTCCCTCATGCTCACCTCCCCACTCCCCTTCCACCCTCCACCCTTCACCCCCCCTCTCACACTCCCAATTTACTCAGGAGATACTGGTTATTTTCCCTTCCTGTGTGAATCCATGTATGTCTCTCTTAGGGTCCTCTTTGTTACCTAGCTTCTCTGGGGTTGTGGACTGTAGGCTTTGCTTTATGCCTAATATCCACTTCTGAGTGTCTTTCTGGGTCTGGGTTATGTCACTCAGTATGGATTTTTGTAGTTCTGTTCATGTGCCTGCAAATTTCAAGATGTCATTGGTTTTTATCACTGAGTAGTACTCCATTGTGTAAATGTACCACATTTTCCTTACCCATTCTTTGGTTATGGGCCATCTAGGTTGTTTCCAGGTTCTAGCTATTATGAAATAATGCTGCTATGAACATAGTTTAACACATGTCCTTGTGGTATGAGTGTGCATCCTTTGGCTATACCAAAAAAGGTATTACTAGGTCTTGAGGTAGAAAATTCCCAATTTTCTGAGAAACCAACATACTGATTTCTGAAATGGCTGTACAAGTTTGCACTCCCACCAGCAGTTGAGGAGTGTTCCCCATTCTCCACATCCTGTCCAGCATAAACTGTCATTGTTGTTTTTAATTTTAGCCATTCTGACAGGAGCAAGATGTTATCTCAGAGTTGTTTTGATTTGCATTTCCCTGATGGCTAAGGATTTTGAGCAATTCCTTAAATGTCTTTCACCCACTTGAATTTCTTATGTTGAGAATTCTCTTTTTAGATCTGTACCCCATTTTTGAATTGGGTTATTTGGTATTTTGGTGTCTAGTTTCTTGAGTTCTTTGTACATTTTGGAAATCAGCCCTCTGTCAGATGTGTGGTTGATGACTATCTTTTCTCATTCTGTGGGCTGCCGTTTTGTCTTGTTGACTGTGTCCTTTGCCTTACAGAAGCTTCTCAGTTCCACGAGGTCCCAGTCATTAATTGTTGCACTCAGTGTCTATGCTACTGGTGTTCTATTTAGGAAGTGGTCTCCTGCACCAGTGCTTTCAAGGCCACTGTCTTTTCTATGAGGTTCAGTGATCTGGTGCCCTTTTCTGGCCTGCAAGGATACATGTAGGCAGAATACTGTATACATAATAAATAATTTTGTTTGTTTGTTTTTTTCGAGACAGGTTTCTCTGGCCTTAAACTCTCAGAGATCCGCCTGCCTCTGCCTCTGCCTCTGCCTCCCGAGTGCTGGGACTAAAGGCGTGTGCCACCACCCCCTGGCTAATAAACAAATCTTTTTTTAAAAAAAAAATGTGGTAGTGAAACACCTTCAATCCCAGCACTTGAGCACTTGAGCAGCAGAGGTTGGGAAATCTCTGTGAGTTCAAGGTCACCCAAGACTAGATAGTGAGACTATGTCTCTAAATAAATAAGCCAAAAGAAACCATTTTTGGTTTTCTATTATTTGGTCTTACACTGTTTTGGGTCTTTTACTGATATCTTTAGATGTTTTCTAATGATCTTTGTTAGCCCAATCAAGGTACAATTTGAAATCCTTCAATTGTTTGTAATACTGACTACCCTCATCATGTATTGTGAATTGAATGTGTCATTGTTTGTTAGAATAGTCAGCTTTCTAAGTAAGCTGAAACCCCCGGAACTGCTTTTCCATTTCACATTCTCTCATGAAGATATTTACTACCTTTAGTAAAGATCCAGAAATGAACAAAGTGTAAGTAGTATTAACTAATAGACTCTTAATGTAGAGGATGGTTCTAAGTTTATTTCAAAAAAATGAATAAATAAAAGGTAGCTTGAAAATCTGACTAGTGAAAAATAACTAAAAATACATAGAATTATAGCTGACCAACTATATTAATAAAAGAAGAAAATAGTTTACAGTACCTCAGAACAATTGAGTGTGGTTCTTTAAAGTGTTTAAAAGAATTGAGGTTTTTTAAAGTATAATATTGGTGTTTCTTTATGTTACTTAATACTACAGATATGTAAGTATGCTACCATTGCACAGGCTTTGTATTTGGAAGTTATTTGGTGAGATATTTTTTTCATTTTATTATCATTTATTAGTAATAAATTAACAAAATAATGGGTTTTATGTGTATAACATACTTTGATGATTTTCAATTTCCTATTGTCATTCTCTGTTCCTCTACCACCAAGCTCTCCTACTTTCATTTATTAACTCTATTGTTTCTGGTTTTTTGAGACAGGGTTTCTTCTGTGGCTTTGGAGGCTGTCCTGGAACTAGCTTTTGTAGACCAGGCTGGCCTCGAACTCACAGAGATCTGCCTGCCTCTGCCTCCCGAGTGCTGGGATTAAAGGTGTGTGCCACCAACGCCCGGCAGGTCAGCTTATTTTTATTAGCACTAGTTTATATTACATTTTCATGTTAGCATATAAACTGTAAAAGCAGTTTTAAAGAATTGTTTTATTCTATAACTTGAAACAAATTAATCACTTTGTGTTTTCTCTTTCACAGAGGTGTGGTTGCCCTTCAGACTCTGAGGAAGTTGGTTGAACTTACTCAGAAGCCAATTCATCAGCTCTTTGACTACATCTGTGGTGTAAGCACAGGTAATTATCATGTATATGGGTGTGTTCCACCAGTGGGTTATAGCAAGAGCACGAAGCACAGCCTTCAGATCATGGTCCTTCTCTGAAATGATGGGCATTCATTTCATAACTTTAATGATAAATAGACCTTTGTGTCATGAAGTTTTAAAACTGCTTATTGTTCAAACATGTAACCTTTTAAGTTTAAGCATTTAAAAATGACTTATTTTTTTATTATATTTTCAACGAGTCAAATTGATAAGGAATAGTTACTAATTATTGTTTTTTGGCGTAGTCACTGTAAGGAGATGATGGTAGAAGGATGAAGTGGTAGTCAAATAGCACTTGAGTTAATATGAAATTAAAGATCATAACAAGCTTTGTTTGTAAGGAATATCAATGAGTAATTGATTCCTATATTACTTATTATGGTGGTTTGAAGTTAGAGTTTAAAGTGACAAATGTATCTTTGGTTTTAAAAAACTACTTTTAAATATTGCTAGTTGGTATGTGTATGAAATGGTGGTTTATATCTGTGCCTCATTCTTCTGAATTATGGTAACTCTAAAGATCACTACAAACAACCAGAGATTTCTCTGCATGATTAGTGTTAAGTATGGCATATTCCCAGAGTGCATGCTAATTGTTGCCTGGTTGTAAAGACTAAATGATGAGAACTGCTCTCTTAGTATGTTATGTTAAAAATGGTTTTCTCTTGTAGATTTCTTTTAATGTGTTAGCTTGTATTTTGATCTTTAAAATAAGAAAATAAGTACATATCCAAAGATGGTAACTGGTTTGACTTTAAAAGCTTCTCAAAGAGGTATTTCCTAAGACTAGTGTTGTCTATAGTTTTGTTTGTTTTGAAACATTATGTAATTTGTAGGTTTCTTTGTTTGTGGTTTTTCTTTCCACTGCACTTTCTAACTTGTATTTATCTTCTTTTTCATTTCATTTCATTTATCTTCTTTTTCCAGTTTGTTTATTCCTGAATTGTTTTTACTTATGATTTTTATGGAGTTAACAACTATGTATTTATTTTAAGGATAATATCCTTATTGGCTTAATAAAATTAGTTCATTTTTAAAATACCTGTTTATCATTATAGTAATTCTTTTAAAACAGAAAAACACTTTCCCAGCAGTAGGGAGGCAGAGACAGGAGGGATCTCTATGAGCTTGAGGCTAACCTGGTATACATAACAAATTCCAGGACTACATAGAGAGACCCTGTCTCAAAAAAAAAAAATCATTTAAATTATCTAAAGCAAATTACTTGTTACGTTTGTTAGGAGTATTTTCGAAACTAAAAATATTTTATATAGTTTGAGCCATAACATTATATTTTCAAGTTATCAGCTATATAACCTTTTAATAGAATGCTTCCAATTAAAATAAAGTTAATAAAGTTTTCACGGCTGGAGAGATTAAGAGAGCACTTTAAATTTCTAAAGGACGAGCGTTCAATTCACAGCCATCTCTAACTCCATTTCCAGAAGATACGGTGCCCTTTTCTGAACTTTGTGGGCACCAGGCACATGTGTAGTGTGCTGATGTAAATGAATTCAGAGCACTAATACACATAAAATAAAAAACTTTAAAACTAAGGAAACATTTAAACTGTATTGTTTTACTTATTCCATTTTCCTTACTTATTTACTTACTCCATTTTCCTCTTTAGTTCAGAGTTAGGCAAAGTAGAGCCACTAGGTGGCAGTGTGTCTTACCAATTACAACTGGTCCATAAAAGCAGCTTTTTGAAAGGACACCCTAGAATATCTAATTTTTTTCATCACATTGATTTTAGGACCTAACTCAAAGAGAAGTTGCTTAATGAATTTATGAGTTATCAAATACACTATATTCTTGTAGTAAAACATGCTTTTTCTTGCCATTTCATCTTATATGTAATCTAATTTAGTATAAAACAACATTTTGATATATTTTAAAATTATTGTCATTGTCATCTTGAAGTCACTGATATTTTTGGGACCTGGAAAAGCTTTTTACATTAGTCAAGTATAAGGGACTTATAAATTATACTTATTATTTATACCCCTTTCACAGATGAAAACTTAGGACTCCAAGTCCAGTTAGAAAGCATCAGAACTAGAATTATAGCAGTTTGGTGGCTCAGAGTCGTGTGTCATTGTAAGAGCAGTCAGTTCACTGCTAATAACAACTAAGAGTTTTCTTTCCAGGGGCCATATTAGCGTTCATGCTGGGATTGTTTCACTTGCCGCTGGATCAATGTGAGGAACTCTATCGAAAGTTGGGCTCAGACGTGTTCTCACAGAACGTCATTGTCGGGACTGTCAAAATGAGTTGGAGCCATGCATTTTATGACAGTCACACATGGGAAAAGATCCTTCAGTGAGTTTTCTTTTGAAAATATTTTGGTTAGTTGTTTATGCATTTGAAAATCTGAAAACTATAAGAAATACAAGAATAGTATTATTCCCACTAGTTGGAAATAACCCCTGTGACTGCTTTGGTGAGTCATGTTCTAGTCACAGATTCTTGAATTTGTGTGTATAAGATTTGCATGTGGAAATTATAATTGTCATTTTTGGTGTGTGTAGGAGAATGTATATTTTCATCTCTATGTATGTTCATATGTGTTTGGGATCCATGCACGTGTGCATGTGTGTATGTGTGTGTGTTTACATGCAAGTGGAAGCCAGAGGTTAATGACAGGTGTCCTCCTAGGTCACCACTTTATCATTTATCTATCACTGTGTGCATGGTGTGGAGGCTTGCATGTGCTGTGGTGTATACATGGAGGCCAGAGGACAACATGGGGGAGTCAGTTTTCTTCTCCCTTTCATGGAGTCTAGGGACTGATGTCAGGTTGCCAGGCTTGTGAAGCCATCTTCCCAGCCTACTTTATTTTTGTTGACAGGGTCTTTGATTAACCTGGAGGTCATCAATTTGGCTAAAGTGACAGGTCAGCGAGCCCCAGGGATCTACTTATCTCTATCTTCCTAACACTAGAGTCACAGATCCACAGCATGCCTGCCTTTCATAAGGGTCCTGGGACCTGAACTCCTATCTCCATGCTTGTGGGCAGGCACACATGCAGTCCTCTCCTTAGCAATATTGTACATACATTGTATGTGTATACTGATAATTTTTTTTGATGTCTTACAGTCTGTTCTTAAGTCATTATTCTGAAACACTCATATTAAAATTCTTTCCAGACGAAATAAAATCAAAACTGTAAGTGAAAGGTAGAAGTTTAAGTCACCCAAGCCTTATTATTGAAAGCTGTGGAATTTGTAATATATTTAGTTTTGTCTTGATTAGTGGGTGATGCGTGTATCAGATGTTGTCCTCTGGCCTCCATGTGTACACCACAGCATCGTGCAAACAAATGTGTGCAAGTGGAGGTCAGAGGTCAACCTCTAGTGTCGCTCCTCAGGCCCCTTCCTCCCTTTGCTTGAGGTTGAGACAGGGTCCTCTCATTAGGTTGCAACTTGGTGAGTAGGCTAGGCTGGTTGGTCATGAAGTTCCAGGGATCTCCCTTTCTCCACCTCTCCTCTCACCATTACTGGAATTACAAGAAAATGTCCAGCTTTCTGTTTTGAGTTCTGAGGATTCAAACTCACCCTCATGGTTCACCCACTGAGACATGTCCTTAGCTCCTTATGTTTCCCCATATATTTTGTATAGCTGAAGTTATTTTATGCTTGTAAATTGGTATCACTTCCCTTGTTTTCAATTTTACTAAAACTAGTAGCACCTTTGAAAGACTACACTATATTTCAGATCATGGTGGTATACTATTTTCTTGACCATGTGATTAGGATAAGCTGTGGTAGAAAACTAAATTTAAACTTGTGCCAACATTTCACAATTTGTCAGTCTTGTTAATTTATAGGAAACATACTAATTTCTCATTTGTTCAAATGCTGTTTTTTAAATAATGAAACATTCAAGAAAACAATGAAAATAACCTATAATCCCACTAAGAACAAAAACTTTTTAGAACTTATAGCTGAACAAGTGTGTGCCTGTGTTTGTGTGTGTGCTCCTCCTCCCCCACAATTGGGGTGATCATGCATGTATCCTGGAGTTCCACTTAACATCTGTCACAGGTGATCTGTCATTATATGGGCCATTATATATTGAAGGCATTTTGAATGGTTGCTCATAATCCAATTTTGGTTTAATACGTTTCCTATTAGAAAAGAACACTTGTGATGTCTTATTTTTGTAGTTCACAATGGACGTGGATTCCTTAAATATCAACTTTAGTCTGCTGATATCTTTAAAGGAAAATTCTAGACATAAAACTCTCAGTCAGAAATGTTTACATGTATGTAAAGTCTTGAGAAAAAAAGAGTACATGCATTTGGGAAGAAAAAGTGGTGATAAGGAGAGGGAAGGAATTGGAGGACAGGGAATGGGGGTGGATTTGATCCATCACATTAATGCATGAAGGAATGAATTTCTCAAACATTAAGTCTTGAGATATATGTGTGTAAATTGCTGAATTGTTCTTAAAAAATAGGATCCTGCCTTATTCATCTGCCAGCATCAGTTTTCTTAAATACCAAATAATTTTAACTTTCAAGATATATGAGTTTGAGAGTTTTTTCAGTGACCATAAACCTTGTGTTTTTTATTGCATTCTTTTTGTGAATTATGTGAATGTGATATTTTGCTCATTTTCCTATCAGGGAAAATTATATTGTGAATACATTAACCATATATTGAAAATGTGTTGTTTTTCCATCTATTTATTGTGTATATGTGTGTTTAGGTTTTCATGCCACACTGTTTGTTCTGCCTTGTGGGTTTCTGTAGTTGACTCAGACCATGAGGCTTGGCAGCAAGAATGCTTATTTGATAAGCCATCTAATGGGTCCAGAATACTTTCTTTCTTTTAAGAACATACTTTACTTTTTCTTTTTAATGGTGTGCTGATTTGTTTGGTTGGTTTGGGGTGTTTTGTTTGTTTATTTGTTTTTGTTTGTTTTGGGAACCGTGTCCTAGTTTACTTTCTATTTGATGTGTCAAAGCACCATTAAGGGTTAATTTGGCTTACACATCCCAACCATAGTCCATCGTGAATGAAAGTCAGGACAGGAACTCTAGGCTGGAACTGAAGCAGAGGCCATGTGGAACGCTGCTTATTGGCTTGCTTCAGCCTGCTTTTTTTTAGTTTTTCGAGACAGCGTTTCCCTGTGGCTTTGGAGGAGGCTGTCCTGGAACTAGCTCTTATAGACCAGGCTGGTCTCAAACTACCAGAGATCCCCCTGCCTCTGCCTCTGCCTCTCTCTGCCTCTCTCTGCCTCTCTCTGCCTCTCTCTGCCTCTCTCTGCCTCTCTCTGCCTCTCTCTGCCTCTCTCTGCCTCTCTCTGCCTCTCTCTGCCTCTCTGCCTCTGTCTCTTGGCCTCTCTCTCTCGGCCTCTGTCTCTCGGCCTCTCTCTCTCTCGCCCTCTCTCTCTCGCCCTCTGTCTCTGCCTCTCTGCCTGTCTGCCTGTCTGCCTGTCTGCCTCTCTGCCTCTCTGCCTCTCTGTCACTGCCTCTGCCTCTGCCTCTGCCTCCAGAGTGCTGGGATTAAAGGAGTGCGCCACCACCGCCAGGCTCTCAGCCTGCTTTTTTATACAACCCTGGACCACCTGCTCAGTGTGGCCTGGACCTCCCACAGCAATCATTAACCAATCAAATGCCCCATAGAGTTACCTACAGGCCAATCTGATGAAGGCATTTTTCTCAAAGTTCCCCCTTCCCAGATGATCCTAGCTTGTATCAAATTAGTATTAATCACACGTGTGTATTCAGATATCCTTTAGTGCACACAGAGGCGA